ATCCTTAATATATTTTGTTTTGAGATAGGGTCTCACTACGTTGCTGTGGGCCTTGCCCAGTTGTTGAGGGTGGCCTTGAACTTGTGATCTTCCAGCCCAAACCTCCCAGGTAACTGTGATTTCAGGCATGCAACATTGCACCTGGAAGGAAACTAATTTCTTTATTGCTGTGAACACCTTAAAAGAGGCAGAACCTCATAGAGCACAATGGTTCTTGTTGCTTTTTGGGTGTATTCCAGAGATGTACTGATGTGAAATCATCTTGCCTTCTTGTGCAGAATAGTGTTGAAGATCAATGTCTTCCTGTGTAGGCTATGGAGATTTAAGGGTGAACACATGTGCTGGTGGGTCACTTGCCATTGTTCCAGAATATTTGCTAGCTAAAGCTCTTGAGGATGGGGTGAGACTCAACCCAGTCTGGGAGCAGAAAGGGGACAGACTGATGGATGAAGTCAGAGGGAAGAGAAAATAGAGTAAGAAAAGGGTACAAGCTAGTCAGTGTCCATGGGAGGACTTGACATTGGAGTATGATCTTTAGTGCTTTGAGTACTAAAGGCCTCAGTCCAGATTTTCCTTTTCCATCTGATTAGTGACTATGAAAACATGATTGGGCATTTCTGCTTCCACTGCCCTCCCAGATAGTGAAAGTCAATGAAGGTACAATTTTAAAAAGAAATGAATATGTGAGAAATAAAGGGGGAGCAGGATGGAGACAGCATTATTGCATCAGTTGAGCAGAGCAGCACTAGAAATGTCTTAAAAGGTATCGTGAAGGACATGGCAGGAAGACACGTTTGGCCAATGGATATAGAGGAAGGATATGGCAAAGGGAGGTAAAAGGTGATGAGGGAGCCCTGAGAAGGCAGGAGATGTGGGTGCAGTGTCAGCACTGGTCTGAAGAGAGCTGCTCACAAGTGTGTCAGGGAAGTCATTCTTTCTAGAAGCCTGGGAAGGTTGGAGGCTCTGGGTCACTCTTGGGCTCCCCTGACCTTTGAATCTTGCCACAGGCCTGTGTTGAGGCCTGCATTAACTGACCATATTAGGGATTGTCACTGGGAAATGGTCTTGCCCACTCCTGCTGATTCTGAGCTCCTCTTTCTATCCTCATCTCCTTTCAGCCTGACAATCCCTTTGACCAAGGCTGCTTCACAAATTGCTACATCATGATGTGTATGCCACTGGGACCCAAGTAAGTTGGTAAACCAGGGGCTGAAGTGGTGGACCGTGGGGCTCGTGGGATTGGGTGAAGCTGGGTCCCTTTCCCTGGTCCCTTAATCTCCAGCTCTAAGACCCTGATGCTCCCTGCTCCATTCCTTTGGGGTTTTGTCTATGGCACTCTGGGAGCCTCTGGGAATTTCATTCTGTCTTGCCCTTGTAGGTTCTTGCTACAAGAAATGGGGGAAGAGTGGAACAGCTGCCTGGATGATGCTTCTGGATGACAGCCTGAGGTTTATGCTTTCCAAGCTGAGGTTCAGTGAGGGTGGTCAGGGAGCACTGGCTAATGTGGTAGTGACCCCTTGCCCTTGAACTTTTGTTCTGCAGGTACATGACCCAAGCTGTCAGTCTGCAAATAGAGCTGGGGACTGAATGGGAGCCAACAGAGGTATACATTCCAGCACAACATCCTACACACCTCCCTGTGTCCAAGTCTCCAACTCTAGTCCCCCCAAGTAGTGGCCAGTCTGCACCTTTACAGGAGGTGTGAGGAGTAGTGAGTGTGCATTGAAACAGGGGTGTCTGTGGACTGCACAGCTATTGGGAGAAACCCTTCAGGTTGGGCTAGCTAGGGATCTGAAGCAATTGGAGCCTAAGGATGGGAATTACGGAACTGGACAGTACACTGTTCAGGTCACAGGGCTTCAGAACACACTGAGTTGTCCCTGGATAGACAAAGAGATAATAAGACTAAGCCACAAACTTTCTGGTTACTGCTTTTTTGACAAATAATTTATGGCTTCTTTAAAAGTCATAACACTTATCTCTCTGGTTTTTTGCTTTCTATATTTTGCCCTCTTTTCCAAGGAAGTCTTCTATTTCACTGGGTTTTCTCTTTCATATTGTGGATAACTATTATATGTAAACCTTGGATCTTTTCTCTTCCCCAGATTATGTATTTTATGTTTTTATATTTACATCTCTCTCAAAGCCTCAATGTCATTCAAGGGACAATTGTGCATGAAATTCCTCACCAGCTAAGAGAGATTTTCCATAGTAATCACCTTACATGGAGCCAGGAAGAGAGAACTACTAATGGGACTTGCAGGGGACTATGATGTGGTGGCACATAATGCATTTCCCAGGCAGAGCTCTGAGGACTGCCATTGGATCCTGATCTCATGATAGATGGCTGTGTTTTCTTCATTCATTTCAATTGACTCATTGAAGTGAAAGGGAGGCTAGGCATTATATCTTTGTAAAATGTTTTGTGAAAATTTATTTCTTCTTGAATGTTATTTCTCATAGATGGCCAGGGATTATTAGATGGAAAAATGACCCATGACATAATTAAGACACAATTTTACTGCAGGATGATAGGCCATAAAAGTATTGATTTGGGGCTGAACATGTAGTTAAGTGTAGAGAGTTTGCCCAGGATACATGAGTTCCTTGGTTCCATCCCTGGCATGGCAAAAACAATAGCAAAGCAAGGCAAAAACCCATACATCTAGCTTCTAGGGGGTGGTACCCATCTATAATCTCAGCAACTCTGGAGGCTGAGTTAGCCTGCTTGTAAGTTTTCAGCCAGCCTCAGCAATTTTGTTAGATCCTAAGATTAAAAAGGACTGGG